TCTGATGCTGCTTGGCCTGCTGTGTTTAGCCAGCTCTACACCTTGTTATCTCAGATTCTCCAGCATCTGCAGTTCCTACTATCTCTGAAACATTCTGCTAAACCTCTTTTGCACTCTCTCCAAAGCCTCCACATCACTCCTACAGTGTGGCAAGCAGAACTGCACAAAGCACTCCAAATGGGTCTCACTAAAATGTTTTACGAATATATCGTTGTTCCTTCATTGTCACTGGGCCAAAATCTGGGAACTCCCTCCCTACACTAAGTGGACTGCAGTGGTTCAAAAGGCAACTCCCCACCATCTCACTACAATTAGGTTTGAGCAGTAAATACTTCCCAGCCATTGACTCGGTCATTCCCTGAATGAATTTAGAAAGAGTGGGTCAGCTGTGCTGAAAGCAAAACCAGACATCATGTATGCATGTGTGCGGTGACAGAGCGGGGAAACATTCAAAAAGAGGACGCAGTTCACGGTCTGAAATTATTGAACTGTAATGCTCAATCCAGAAACTGTAATGTGCCTGAACTGAAAATGAGATGCTGCACCTTCAACTTTCATTGGGCTTCATTGGAACACTCCAACAGACATAGGACAGAAATATGATCTTGAGAGCAAGATGGTGTGTTAGAAAAGCAAGTGACTAGAAGGTCAAGGTCATGTTTCTGGACTGAGCAGAATCGTTAGATGAAATGGTCACCCAGTCTGTGTTTGACCTCCGTGTACAGGAGACAGCATTGTGAGCAGTGCATGGAATAAACTAGGTTGAAAGACCTCCAAATGAGTTGCTGCTTTGTTTGGAAGGAATGTTTGGGGCCTTGGATGGTGAGGAGGGAAGAGGTAAAAGGATAAATATGCATTTCCTGTGATTACATGAGAAGTTGCCTTAGGAGATTATGAAGTGATAGGGTGAACCAGGATGTCATGGAGCGGGCACACTTGAGAATGCTGCTGGGATGAGAAGTTATGTTTGGGGGATTTTCCAGTGAAAAATTTAATGGGTTTTTTTCTTAAATTCCAACTTTTACCTCCTCTTCCTTTAACCTCGTCCATTTCTGACATTTCAATTTTGTGACTTTCCTGTCTCCATTAATGGGAATAAGCTGCCACTAATATTCATTACAAACTCACCCACTCCCTAGGCTACCTCAATTGCACTTCCTTATGTCCTGCTTCCACTAGGGACTCTATTCCGTTCATCTACTTTTTCCATGTTACCTTCCACAATGGTGCTTCCAACATATTTTCCTTTTTCCACAACCAAAGATTTGTGTCTGGATGGTCCCTTAGCATGCATGCTGTCTGTCATGTGCTTTGGTGCACACTGAAGGGACTATGGCCTCCATAATGCCCTAGTCCACTTCTCGATCAACCCACACAACTCACTTCCTCCCATGGCTTCTGTCCATGCAATCATAGGAAGTCTAACACTTGCCCTTAACCTTCTCCCTCCTCACTACATCGTATTTGCTGCTTACAGTGTGGTCTCCTCTACAGTATGGAGACCAAACCGAGATCCCCTTATTCTAACTTGGACAACTTTCCTTTCAGTTTCATTTGTCCCACTCACCTTTTTGTACAGCATGAAACCAATTACTTTTTCAGCCGTGAAGAGAAGTCACTAAGTATGTTTCTCTCTCCATGAATGCTGCTGGATCTGAGTTCTTCCAACACTTTCTTATACCTTATCTCTTTTAGCATAGAAAGCTTAACTTGTTTTTTTTAAAGTTTGTTTTCTTATTGTGTAGAGTTTCTGCAGCCTCAAATTTATAAGGCAATGGGAATGATTTGTGATCACTACAATAAAAAAACGAAACCTCTGACTTCAATAATTTGTTTGAATAATCACAAGGAAATGAAGAGATGCAGGTTGGATTGTCAATGATTTCCAATCTGTTGATGATCTCTGGACAATATAGCTTAAAGTTAAATGTTAAAATAGGCCACAGTAAAAATTTCTGTTAATCCATCCAAGAATTAATTATCAAAAATAATGTTCTGAGACATTTTGAAATTTTCAGAACAAGTAAGAGTACAAAAGTTTTAGAAATTCGTGATTATGAAAGCATGATGCTCAGAATCAGTAAATATATAAGACTGAAGTGTATTTAAATGTTATGACTTTGTTAATTTATAATATTAAAATGGTATTGATTTGGTAATTTGTTTTGGCAAG